TTATCTAAATGGTATGCATAATAACAATATAATACTGTATGATATATAGAGAGAGAGAGAGAGAGAGAGACTTCAAGTGAGGGATCAAAAGGAAAAAAGAGACAAAAAAAGTTTGGTTTCTATGATATGATGGGAAGTAAAGGCTGAGCCGTTTGGACACAATTGCAGGGATGAGATGGAGATGAGAGACATACCAGTGCTGTGTATGTGTTGGCTGGCAATGAGTGCTCCCATTCCTACATACCATAGAGAGACTGCTCAGAGAATCACTGTTCAACTCACGAGAAAAGCGAGAATATTCTGTAGTTTTACGGAATCGAGTGCCGACTTAGTCGCTGAAGTCACCAGAATTTGTGTATATTTTCTCTCTCGAAAATGATCTCAACTTTTATGGCCTATTCGTGCCATTCATTCATCGATAATAATAATAAAAGTTTTTGTTTTTGTTGTTTTTCAGCCATAAATGGTGCGAATGAATGAGTTATTAGTTTTGCATTTTCATTAATAATTATTTTTCCGATTAATGGTTTAGTTTGTGTCTCCAAAATCCATATCTCATAAGTGCTGAGAGAGACAAAAACCTCCGCAATATCTACATTAAGGTCTCAGATCGTCGTGTAATGCCATCGAGTTTTGGTAAGAATTATTGGATTCATCGATGTGTCGGATGTTTGGCTGCCGTAAGTCTTTTCACTGAAGATTATCACCAAAATTGTGCTGTTTTTATGATATTACACACAAATATATCGCTAACTATAACATAGAGTTAAGGCGAGAAAAAGTATCGCATTTCGTGTATCGCTATTACTTTGTATCATAACTTTGTGTATAGGAATAGACAGTCTTATTAATTGTATCATAAATTTTAGGCTAAATTCTTGTGTACAACACCCGGTGTATGGTGTGAACCAATGCATCAAATTATTTGCTAACTTGATATCCATATTTATTATTTATATCTGTCACTGGTTAGATTAAAAATATGCTTTTATTTTGGAGTTATGTATAGAAAATGATATTAGTTTACCAAAAAAAACCAATTATAAGTGTATACGAGAGTTATGGCTATACTGTACTATATTTAGTTATAAAGTATATTAAAAATTTAAATTAATATCACAATCATTAATATTGATCGCAAAGGGAATGCCTTATATTTTCGAGCAAAATATACTACATTAATACAAATATAGACTAAAAATATACTTTTATGCTGTATTTCCAACACACATCCAGTGCGCCATTGCCTCATCATATGTGCTACTGAACCGGAAAGTGTGTCAAACGCCAATCGTGTCGCAGGAGGACATGAAGTGGTTGTCCACGAGGTTGACCACCCTGGCCGACTACAAACACTTTGCCACCCATTACTACGACTGGCTCCAGATCTACCACTGCATCACGTTTGGCTGGTGTATAGTCGTCATCATACTGGCCGTCATTAATATCGTACCCTCCCATCAAGACTTCAAAGTTCTGGTCATATGTTTAGTGAGTAGTAGTCGTAGAGTTGATGACAACTACATCCCTGTCCCCGACCATTCACTACCATACATACCATACATACACATGATTTATGTGTCGTTCCCATTGAATGACTTTTTTTTCATTTAATAAACCAAATGATTTGAATTAAGATAAATGAATGCATTTCTCTATACTCTATATATCTCTATCTCTATATTCCTTATACAGAATATTCTTTATATATATATATACACTCTGTGTTCACAACTCTATTATATTTCATGTCATATATTATGGTTTAATATATAATATAAAATAAATTAATTTAATTTATCTCTCATTTAAACTCCAAAAGCAAATCCTGTTGATGGCATCGATGGCTATGTTCACGATGTATACGGCATTCGACGCCTTCCACAAGCCGTGTAAGCCATCGACGAATCCGGAGGAATACAAACTGTCTGTGAGGTCACCGAAAGACATGCGACCCGTCAATGTCTACGAGGACGACGACGACCCCCTGCTCCACATCTGTCTGATCGACGCCGGCGTCGGATTCATACTTCTCTGCTCCGCATTCCTCTTCTTCTTCGACTCGCGACAGCATATGATTGAGTGGCGGAACTGATCCATAGGTTCAGTGATCATCAACTGACCCATAGGTCCAGTGATCATTAACTCATCCATAGATCCAGTAATCATCACTGAATCCATAGATTTCCAGTGATCACCAACTGGTCCATAGATCCAGTGATCATCAACTGATCCAGTGGTCACTCAATCGTACCATTGGTTCGTCAATTCGCTAACCCTTTGGTAGATCCGGCGATCAACTGATCCGCACCACCATTGAGCTACTGGTCACTCAGCTATTGATTGGTTTACCATTTCGCTGACCCATAGGTTTTGTTCACTGGTTTGGTTCGCGAGCGCATGAAACAAATGGACAAACATTTTATGTGCAAAAAAAGTAAAAGTGTGTCAAACCGTCAAACAGTTTGTTTCCAACTCAGCGATCACTCGATTGCAGACTCTTATCCTTAAGACAACATTCCTCTCTCTCTCTCTCTCTCTTATTTTGTTTTATAAACACTACATATATGTGTAAATAATCTTTCTTTATTTTCGGTGACATTT